TTTTTTATACAGCATACTTTATTTCTTTTTAACTTTTTAAAAGGTCTTTTCTTTTTAATGTGGACCATTTTTTAAGTCCTTATTGAATTTGTTACAATATTGTTTCTGTTTTTTGGAGGGGGCATTATTTTGTTTTTGTCTGCAAGGCATGGGGGATCTTAGCTCCCCTGCCAGGGATCAAACCCGCATCCCCTGCATTGGAAGGCAAAGTTTTAACCACTGGACAGCCAGGGAAGTCCCCTGGTGAGCATTTATTCCTTATGGAGGAGTCCAAGGGAACCGGCCCCTGGGGTGCAGCCGTGCTGGCTTCAGGACTAGTGATAGAGATTTGCTCACTGTCCCTCACGGCCTCTTCCTGCACCTTCTTGCCCTCCTTGGTCCCCTTCTGGTCCCTTTCCAGGGAGGCAGGCCTGGTCTCCAGGGAGGGGATTCTCAGGATGACCTACCCCTTCCCGATCTGGTCCTTGGTGGAGGGAGGAGGAAAAGGTGAGATGTTCCAGCATCTTTGGGCAATGCCAGTCACCCCACCTCCACCAGGTCCCTGGTGTCCCTGGTGTCCCTGAAAGAGGCTAGAGACGCAGCAATTAGGTCAGAAACCCCCTCCAGATGCTTCTCCCCTCCCTCATTATCTGGAAACTATTACAGTGTGTTGAGGAAAGACCCCAGGGTGTTTTCCCATCTGTTGCTCTATTTCTGACACATGCTGCTCTCCACCTGGAATTCCCAGGCCCTCCTCTCCTCTTGCCTCTCGGCTTCCTGACCTTGGACAAGTTACCTAGTCTCTCTGGGCCCTTTTCTCCTCATTCTTAATGTGGACATGACTGTACCCACCTCCTGGGGGTCACAGAAGACTCAAGGGGTTAATTCATACCAAGGTTTAGTGCGGGACCCAGCACAGAGTAGGTGTTCAATAAACGGTGGCTACAGTTCTTCTCAAGGGCTAGTTCAAAGCTCTATTCCTCCAGCCAGCCCTCCCTGACCACCTCAGGCTTAAGGGGGGACTGTTTTATGCCTTGCACTGCCCACCCCTCGGTACCTCTCACATCCTGATGTGCATCCTTGGTTGCTGATATATACCTTGTTCCCACATTTATTGGGGTCTTTCATGTGCCAGTCGTGGTGGAGAGGTCTGACAGAATGTGCCATTGGAGAAGGGAATAGCAAACTACTGCAGTATTCTTGCCTCGAGAACCCCATGAACAGTATGAAAAGGCAGAAAGATAGGACACTGAAAGATGAACTCCCCAGGTCGGTAGGCGCCCAATATGCTACTGGAGAGCAGTGGAGAAATAACTCCAGAAAGAATGAAGGGATGGAGCCAAAGCAAAAACAACACCCAGTTGTGGATG